TTCCAATCTAGCACTATGAATATGAATGACGTTTGTAAATGACATATACCATACAGAAATTTTAGCATAAATGGATGGAGTATAAAAGTAAAAATAGACTCTATCGTCATTACGGATGTGTCACTCACATTAAATATAGCGCACTGGACATCTTAATTTTTGCTGCTCCAAAAAGTAGCGGAAAAGGGCAAAATGTTGGACCGCAGTGACTTTGCCATGGCCCTTCGGAGCCTGTCGCCTCAAGCCCTTTGGCCCTAAGCTAAATGCGCCACTGCATCTTGTTACGCTATTTTTGCAATATGACTGCATTTCTTTTTATGTATCAAAACTAAAGCTAAACCGCTTATTGTGTTGTTCATTGAACATTTTTTTAAAAAATGGGTGACGATGAAGGTTACTTGGGAACAGATTCAAATAAATATGAAGATCTTTAGCTGATTCTAGAAGGACCAGAAATGATAATTACATAGGCAAGAGGGTCGATAATTTTATTGAGTTTGCTTCAAATGTGTTATTAGTAATACTGGTCGTATATATTTGTTGCATTTTGAGTCAACCGGATACCTTGGTCTCGTTAAAGTTTCTCTCAATTTCCTCATCTGCTACTGTAGCAAAGAACGCTTCCAGAAAACGCAAAATATCACATTCTGCCAGGTGTACAAAAACATAAACTTTGTAATATTTCTTTAAGGTATCTCACCAAGATCTTTTCTTGAATGTTTCATATCGTTTTCTTAGCTTCCTTAAAGTACAGCAGTTCTGTTTACAGAAAGCCGCTCCAAAAGAACAGTTCGGAACTAGTTCTGAACACACTGAACAGTATGCGCAGGAAAATGATTCATGGCTACTTCTGAACTAGTTCACTAGAAACTGCTTGTTGGAAGATTTTAAGATAAATCTACCCATGTTCTGAGATGTTAGCAATTCGCGTTTCTGATATTACATCTAAAAGAATTTGACATCTTAGACTTGACAACGCTGTTCAACAGCTGTGGGGGCACATCGGTTATTGGTTTTTGTTTGGTAACTTGTGTTTAGGTTATGTTTTTAGAATCCCCACACGCAAAATATATATAAACCATATAACTATTAACTTGTACCTGGATTCTTTCTTACTAAACCCTGGGTAGACGTTCGTTTTTTTCTGCTTATGATAGAAACTCACATAATTTTCGTTATTCTCGCAAGCACATATAAATTGACCTATATTCCAATTCATCTCGATTGACAAATTATTTAACTCTATACATTTTTTGCACGTTTTGCCTTATCAATTCATTTTATCTTTAGTAATACATCTTATCTGAGGTAAAATAAAAATGTTCCATTTACCTGTATAAATAAGGTTATATGTGATATGTAAATGCTTTACATCAAAACATAATTATTCTGAAACAATTAAGGTAAGCTCTTCTAAAATCTTAGTATTTTTACAGAACAAAAATACTTGTATAATAAATAGTGCAAATGAAGATTTTCACTAGAGTGACTTAATTTTTACGATAATGAGCGATACAATTCTTGTTACCGGATTTGGAGAATTTGGAGTACATAAAAGGAACGCTAGTTGGGAGGCTGTAAAATTATTACCGGACAGTATTGATGGTATATCCATCGTCAAAAAAGAAATTCCGGTTGTATATAATGTCGTCGATAGTGTAGTACCAGCTTTGTGGAAGGAGCTTAAGCCTTTGGTACGTATTCAACTACTCAATCTTAAATACCAGGGACTGGAAAGTAAACATATTAACAACAAGAACTCTGGTAAAGAGACACCACTCCAAGTTTGGATGGGATTTCCTAAAAAGCTCAGTTTCAAAAATAGAACTAAAATATTTTTTGATCTTTGACCATCATTTAAAAAAAAAACGCAAGCAATGCATCTTTATCGTACATACTCGTATATGGTAGAGTTGGCCATTTTATGAAATGATCGAGAATTTCATGAAATTTGACCATATCGTTAAATCGTAAACGTTTAACGATTTTTTCATCCACGAATGATCATATCGTGAAACAGGATATCAACAGAATATTTGAGTGTGGCAACCAATAGCAGCAAAGCAAGAAATTCCTTATCAAATGTATAGTGATTATCTTTCTTCAATTACTTTTTTAAGTTTTCGGTGAATTAAATTAGCTTTGTTATTGTAGACGTAAGTCGCTCTAAAAAGGCAAGTCCCAATTTTCAGGATACCCTGTATATTGTGGAGTGATACCTCCAAAACATTATGTGCTCTTTAACGTTATAGCTTGTCATTCACGTGGGAGTCTCTTCCTACGCATCAAAACTTACGATAGAAAAATGTGCATACCGAACGGGGTACGTAAAGTGTGACGCACAGGGTAACACGCATTGCTCAGGCCAGTCAAAATGTAGCAATGAGGATTGCATCTATACAGCTATAGATACTGAAGCAATATGCGAACATTTGAATAACACTGGAAATGTCAAGTTTTGCACGTCTTGCAATGCTGGAAGGTAGGTGACAGACAAAACTTACCCGACAAGTTAAAATCTCCTAATTTGTGCTTCTTGGACATTCATGGAAATCTACATGAATTACTTATTATACAGCATATTCCAGTTTGATCCCCCCGTCTAAATATTTCGAAATCTATGCATTCTACAGAAAAAGTTTCAAACGAGGAAGAAACATGACGATGAATTTGGCAATGACCTTGATCACAACATTCAAAGCCATTACAAGGTGTTGAAAAGAAGAGGAAATCTTACGTCTGAGTATGACCGTTACCACGACCTTGTCCATTTCCTCAAAGACACCAAAAATTATTTGTTCTAGCAAAAATTCTCTTCAAGACTAATGTGAGGTCTGTACTGATCAACCAAGGGTAACCTTGGCCGAGTCCTTGACTAGCACCTCCAGGCTGAAACCAATATTTTCAAAATAAGCGATTCATTCTTATACTGAAGTTGGAAAAAGCAAGAAATTTCACGTCTAAATCTGACATTCAGGTTTGACACGATCTTGACCTCAGGGTCAAGGTCACATTTGGGCGTAAAATATCCTGCTTTTTCCATTTTCATTTTAGAAATAATAGGTGTCTTTTATGAATTTTGACTTAACCTTGAAGGTCATGGTCAGAGTCATGATCAAGGTCATGGTCAAGGCTAAAGTCAAGGCCATAGTCACGGCCAAGTTCACGGTTATGATCAATGTCAAGGTCATGATCAATGTCATGGTCAAGGTCACCCATAGGTGAGCCCCACAAACCGGACAACTGTGCTGTCGAACATTTTTACTAGAGGAAATTGTTTTCAATCTCTTGATTCGACCTCGAAATGGCCTTGAAGAAAATAGTCTCTTGTCAATTCCAATATGAATAATTAATTATGGACGAGATCACGCCTGTAACGACTATAATCCAACCAAATGAATGGGAATGGAAAGAAGAACATGGAATTTGACACCCAAATTTTGGGAAGTTTCTAATTGTGTGAAGATATCAACACAGATGTGAGGTCTGTAGTGCTCAACCAAGAGTGACCTTGGCCGAGTCCTTGACTAGCACCTCCAGGCTGAAACCAACATTTTCAAAATAAACCAGTCATTCTTATACTGGAGCTGGAAAAAGCAAGCAATTTCACGTATAAACGTGACCTTGACTTCAAAAAACATTCAAGCTTGACATGATCTTGGTCACATTTAGACGTAAAATATCCGGCTTTTTCCATTTTCAGTTTTAAAAATAATAGGTGCCTTTTCTGAATCTTGACTTAACCTGGAAGGTCATGGTCAGAGTCATGGTAAAGGTCATGGTCAAGGCTAAGGTCAAGGCCAAGTTCACAGTCAAGGTCAAGGTCATGATCAATGTCGTGTTGTAGGGCATGATCGATGTCATGGTCAAGGTCACTCATGGGTAAGCCCCGAAAATCTGATAACTGTGCTGTCGAACATTTTTACTAGAGCAAATTGTTTTCAATGTCTTGATTCGACCTCGAAATGGCTTTGTAGAAAATAGTCTCTTTTCAATTCCATGAATATGAATAATTAATTATGGACGAGGTGACGCCTGCAACGACCGTAATCCGCCAAAATGAATGGGAATGGAAAGAAGAACATGGATTCGACGCCCAAATTTTGGGTAGTTTCTAATTGTGTGAAGATATCTACGAAGATATTCATGTACTTATTTGACGTCAAATTCCTGTATTATATGTGTATATCCGAAATTTGGCCATGAACTCAATTTCTCTAGTACTTCACGCATTTATTGTCTACATGTCAACGCGGATGTCAGTTTTTCAGAAGTTATATGGGACACGCTGTTTTGCTTGCTAAACATACAACTTTTCGAAAAAATAGATTGATCGAAGTAGTAATAATTTTGTTTTTTTAGGTACCTGTGTGAATATATTTACTACATGTCCTTGAGTATCGATAAGAGCAAATGTCTATTCGTACATGTACCTCCAATAAACGAACCGTATTCAACAGAGCAAATGGCCAAAGCCCTTGAAGATCTCATCAAATGTTGTGTCAAATGCCAATATCAGGAACTGGAAAACGTTTGCTCGACTTTGTAAATTGCAATATGTGTAATTATATTTTTCCAAATAAAAGCATATGAAAAATCCAAATGATGATGAGGTTGAAGATCTATACATAAGTATCAGAGGAGTTCAAATAGGTAGTTCAAACAAAAAATTTAAATTTGTAGTGATGGACTAACTAAAAGATCACGACAGGGTGTGGTGTAGATTTTTTCGATTTTTTTTTTAAGCCTATATTTTGAAAAGTTCACGATATATTTTTCTAACCATGATGACTTGGCATATTTGTACCGTAGTTAGGGAACAGTCTGAATATAAATTGAATGGAATGCACCCTATGTTCCATGTTTTTTGTATTTCTTACACAGCTCCAAATAAAAACATGAACGAAATTTGTTTTGACATAGAATCTGGATAGTAATGTAATGCGTAACTCTTCAGTAAACATACCTGTATGTAGTGGCTCAACTTTAAATAAAACTAATTCATACTCCTTAAAAAAATATATTATTTACAAAACTTACACAAAAAATAAATAGAAAACCGTAATACAGAAACAACATCTCAAACGTCAACAATCCACAACCTTCACAGTCTACTTAGGTCCATGTTGTTTCCGGAACTCTTCCATGAACTGGACAAGGAGTTTTACGTCCTCCACTGAAGTCGCGTTGTACAGACTCGCCCTGATTCCTCCAACGCTTCTGTGGCCCTTCAGCTGGTACATTCTGAGTTTCTCGGCTTCCTCCAGGAATTTGGATTCGAGAGCGTCATCTCCGTTCGCACCTCCCACCCTGAAGGGAATGTTGATCCTGCTTCTGCAACTTTCTTCGATGGGGCAGACATAGAAGTTGTTCGAGTTGGTGATGGCGTTATAGAGGGTCGTGCTCTTATCGTGAGAGTTTTGCGCCATCTTATCTACACCTCCGCAACGCTTGATCCATTGGAGGACTTTCTCCATTACGTAGACTCTGAAAGGAAGAGAACGTTTTGATTGAATCTTTGAATCATTGGAAAATTTACGAGTCTTAGTTTGCCGTTTTTTTGTGTAGGCTCGCCAGAAAGTTGAGTAGCTGAGTTTAGAAATGTTTAAATGTTTTTGATCCTCCATAGTTCGTACTAAGTACATCCAGGGGGCTGAAAAACAGATTTGGGTAGGCTTTTAAAGTTATCCAACTGTTACGAAGTTAGTTGCCCATTTATAAGTTCCAATTCAAACATCTGTGTTAAGACACTGACAGACGTCACACCTTTTGTGTTGTCCCATGATATCATATGAATAATGCAATCATTTTTCGAAGCTTTGATCATTATTTTACATTTTTCACAAAGAGTACAGTCGCCGAGATACTTACGAGAATGTGGTAGGTGTGTGATGAACTGAGTTGTTCTTACTGATGTGTGCGAAATCGAATACTGTAGGGCAATACTTCGATGCATTTCCTAGTAAATCTTCTCGGACTATCACTAATACGACACCTGAAGGACCAATGTTCTTTTGGGCTCCAGCAAATATAATACCATACTGAAAGGAAGAGGACATTGCTAGTACTGAGTTCACGATTAATTTATAAATAACGGGGATCAGAAAAAATGATCGAAAGTTGAAACAGTATGCTGCAAAGGGCTGTATTAAAAAGAAGATATATTTGATCACAATTCTTTGAGGATTTGATGTGAGGTATAACTTTGTATACGATATTTTAAACATTTGTGACAAGAGACAGAGATTAATGGCCGATCTCTGCTTTTACGCGAACGAAGAGTACAGATTACACTAGAGCAGAGCGGAGTGGAGCATAGTGCAGTCAATGGCGACATAAGAATTAGTCAGACATAAATAGTGTTTTTTTGTGGAATGCAGTGTTTTGATCCACACAAAAAAGAACCCAGAAAAACGCTACAAATTTTTATAAAAATACCAACCTTCGAAACGTCGACCTTCTTGGTCATTATGTTAGAAGACATATCTGCTACAAGAGGAACTCCTCTGGTCTCTGGCACGTAGTTAAATTCGACACCTAGAACAACGAAAGATAATTCAAATAACGTCGTCAAGTGGATTCACTATACATCTATCAAGAACTGTAAGTGAACCAGTGAGCTTATTCAAATATTTTTACAGATATATTGAAAGCTTACCATCGACAGTTTCGTTATCACAGTAGAAAACAAAAGAAGCATTTTCACTGAGCTTCCAAGTACGTGGGTGTGGAATACTGCGCGTTTCTGGTCTTGGGAAGACCATGTTGACCTTTCCATACTTGGCTGCCTCTTTTGCTGCTATACTTGACCAGGTACCTGAAAAACAAGATGTCTGTTATCTAAAATATACGATTACGTTTTCGTCGGTATAAGGTGTGTGTCTTAAATAGTTTACTCGTACAAATAACAGAGACAAAGGCACTATGAAACACAGAAATGAAGCGAATTTGTGCACAATAGATGAAATCATTCCACAATGTATAAGTTTTGAGCGAGTTATTATCTACCTGTGACCAAATAATCTGCTTCCCCAGTTCTTCCCATCAGATTCATGCAGATTGCTGAGAAGCATCCTAGACCACCTCCTTGCATGAAGAGGATTTTGTAGTTTGGTGGCACATTTCTAAAAATAAAAAAGCTCGCATAAATACTGCAAACCTATAAACATACAGCTTTGATAACGATTGTTGGACTTATAGTAGAGTTAGCCATTCTAAATTATCTTTGTGTGGTTATTCGTATTGCAAGGGCGTTTTATAATATTTTACAAAAAACTCATTTTATTTAATGCACAGTGTGGGAATTGCAGAAATGATATGCGCAAGGTAAAGCAGAAAGAAAGAAATTAGCAGATAATTGCTAGTTTCACATCCGCGTTGAATACTGTAGGCATATTTTATACCAGCGACTTAGAATGGAGATAATTTGTTGCTGATTGCTTTCAAACTCAAAAGTGTTATTAGAAATACTTACAATAATTCCCTAACTAGTTGTTGAGCGCTATTGTTAATAGCTTCGTACTCCTTTGACCTGTGACTCATCTCGATTAAGCTCATTCCCGAATCCTTGTACGATAAGAATTCATTCTGGACTTCTGTGAGAACCTGTAACAAGTGATATTGATAGTAAAAGGCATTGAACAAACATAAAGTTGGGTCCAAAAAGTTTCCGAAGAATGTAAAAAAATGTTAACTCAAATTCGTTTTTGGTGTCAGCTCTTTGGTTGTTTGTTACAGTTTAAATGATGAGTACACGAAAAACCTGTTGTAGAAACTATTATGGTTGAAATTAGCACTGATAAATGACGCCAATATCATTTTTTTAATAATTTGTTAAATTTTCGGACGATTATATTACTTTGATAAACTGTTGAACATATAATCTAAGTTTCGTTGAGGTCAAGGCTGAAATATGATCGTATATGGTAAGACAATTGTCAATTCGGAAAGTTGCGATTGGATATAGACCCGCTTTGTGATAATTAATAACTGTAACTTATTTAAAATAATTTTTGTGATATGTAAAAAGCTTGTCAGTTCTCTATGTGACATAGATAGTGACCTGATTCGAAAATGAAATATTTGTCCAGCAACACATACTAGAAACGTAGGAGTTTATTTTTATTTCAAAATTCCCACTTATTCTTAACAACTATTCTTAAGAAATGTTTGATTTTACATAAGGCCAAGGAATGATTTGACCTTGTTTACATTAAATAAATAATCACTCTAAGCCTCAAAGAAGAGATCAAAAAAGGACTGAACCAAACATTATTGCATCAGATATACAGAAATATTTCTGTCATTGTTCAGAAAAGTCCAATGCATGGCTATTTCAGGTATTACTACGTAGGTATTGTAGTGGTGTTATTGACCCACAAATTGGTCCCAATTGGTGCGTTAAAAATAGCCGCAATATTCGAACCAGCAGTTACAATTAATGATCAATTTTAATTTTATTCATAGGTTTCGATACAGAAATATTTCGAATTCTTCCAGTACCACTTGAACATGAAACTCACCTCTCTAGGTAGCTTAGCAGGACCGGCTCCGAAATTTAAGGCTGAGTGTGATGAACCCATTTTGCACTGTCTTGTATTCTTCTAAGATTCACAAACGAAAAGTCTAATTAGAAATTCCACCAACTGTTTCACTCAACCATGTGGCGATTGTAAATCCTTGTGTGGAACTACTTGATCGCTATTAACGTCTGGGTACTTAATATACAGAACCGCTTGCGTTGTGTTTTGGATGGCGAATTACGGCAGCGGCAGTCGCGGTGGGGGAAGTGGTCCTATACAGTGGCGGAACAGGATTTTTTTGTTATGCGGTCGTGTAAGCTTTATTGAGTTTTATTTAAAGTACGCTATCAAATACAGGAAAAAAGCCTAAAACATACCCTCTTGATATAAACAAATGCGTTCTTCAGGCACTGACGAAGTTCCGAATTTCTTAGTCAAGAAAATATTATTGTACATAACCAAACCTTTTGTGTTTCTAGTTAATTTATCATTCTGCACTGGTGTATTTCCAAACAACCTGAAAACAGGAAAAGTAACTCCCAATTCTTAAGAAAGGAGATACTTCTTTGGTTAGCAATTACAGACCGGTGACTGTTCCATGCTGTTTTTCCAAGATTGTTGAGTATTGTTTTTTAGATCGACTTCTGCTGTTCTTGGAAAGCAATGACACTCTATCATCCAATCAACAGATTAGTCTACTGTATTGAGGCAGGAGAATGCCCGGTTGGGATATTTTGTGACCTCAGTAGGGCGTTCGACTGTGTCAGTCATGACATACTATTGGCCAAACTAACAGACTATGGAATTGGTGGTTCAACCTACCTGTGGATAAAATCGTACTTGCAGAATAGGTCACAATTCGTGGCAATAACACACAACAACGCTGGTCAACTGAAGCAGGCTCAAATCGGGTATGGTTAACATAAATATAGGCGTACCACAAGGATCTATATTGGGGCCAGTGCCGTTTTCCCTTTATATAAATAACCTGGAGCAATGTTTCCCTGAAGCACATTTCACGTTGTATGCAGACGATGCCTCCATCATTATATCAAATAAAGACGAGGCTGATTTAATAAATAAATGTAACACCTTAGTGTACAACATCAATAGCTGGTTTGAAGAAAATCAGTTACTTCTTAATAGCGAGAAGACCACAGTTATAAGGTTCCATAACATTCAAAAGTCGATACCAGCGATTCAGCTTGTTCTGAACGGTTCAGCACTGCAGAGTGATAAAAGCACTAAGTTTTTAGGGCTCCACTTAGACCAATGTCTCAACTTTAAAGGACATTGCGATTATCTATCATCAATAATAAATTCACAAGCACATTTACTCAAGAACCTGAGATCTGTTTTCACAGAGAATCAGCTATTGATGTTGTATCATGGTCAGGTTGAGTCCCGCATGCTGTATGCTTTGTGCTTCTGGGGTTCATCGGTGAACGCTTCTAAGGTGTTCCTAAGTCAAAAACGGCTGGTGAGGTGTATGGTGGGAGTAAGCAGCACTTATAGTTGCAGATAATTATTCAAGAGATTAAAAATAATGACACTGCCTTCGCTTTTTCTCTACAATATGGCTATCTATACTTTTTTAAACAAAGATGATTTCACCTTGAATAGTCATATACATCAAATGGGCACTCGCAGACAAAACGACATCCATATACCTTTTGCGCGTTATAAGTTAGGCAGCAGATCACCATGTATTTTTTTCTGGTTTTAAAGTTTAGGATGAATCGATTAGAATAGAGGAGTTTGAAACGCATATACGTTACTCTAGATAAGAAAGAGACATGCCATCGAATCTCATATTTAAGTCAAGGTTAACACCGAGATTCTTGGCGTAATCCACAAAAGACATGAGTGTCTCATCCAAAACAACACAAATCCTCATTCACATTAGGAGTTCTTCGAACAGTACAACATTGCAGTAGTTTTATTAGGATTGTTCTTCAAGCAGTGTTTGTTACAGTAATCGCTGATGTTAGCCAAATCTAAATTAACTTTAAAAGAAACTTCATCAACCTTTGATGGATCGAAACCAAACACTAATCTTAGCATTTCGTTGCTTTCTCTATTACTTCAATGTTTTGAACTATTTGAAGATCGCAGTCTGAGAGACTGTGTACCATAAATTATCGTTTTGCTGTTAAGAGTTAACATACAGGAACAGAGGCAATAACAGTAAACGGTGTAAATAACAATGTGCAATTAAAATTGAGACTGTTTGTATATAAACATCGATTTGTGACGATAGGTCTCATATCTATGTACGAACTACTCGAAACTTGGTTCTGTCCAAGGTTGCACACGTGCACTTGTAAGGGAAAACAAACATAAAGCAGATACCCATATAGTATAGAGATAAGAGGCATGTCTTCTTGTAGTTGATGTGGCGTCTGACCTCCACAGGCACTCTGAGGCTAAATACTTTGGAAACACTAGTATCTCTAACAATGCCTATTCGCTAGGTGCGCTATGATAGCAGAAATACTTGTGCTTGATGCGTGCGGTATAAAGATCAATGGGTACCAATGGAAATGACGCTTGTAGTCGATTTACCTAAGCTTTAGGACAATGATCACATCGAAGTATTTGCAGATTCGTCAGGCTTCTGTTGACAGATCTCACTGAATCAATATTCAATAATCTGCCCGATGATGTTTCTCTATTTGAACACGTGCGCGGCGATCTATTCAGTAACCCCCACTAGGCACTTCGCTTCCGGCAAATTGAATGCAACAACGATACTTGGTGGACGAATTCGTCTGGATACCAAAGTGACATGAAGCTACATGCGTTTGGGCTCTAAAGGCACTTCCGTCGCTTATTCGTACAAAGAAAAATTGATGTTGAAAAATGTTCTGCCTACGCCACTGAAACGCAATGGAAATATCTTATTGTTAAATTGTTTATTCATTGATAAAACTTAGTAGCATCAGAGGATTTAGAAATGTATTTTTCTGTGTGTTTACGCTAGTTCAACGAGGCGCAAAGTAAATGATGCGTCAAATATTGAGAGGTTTCCACATTTTTTATCGAAATATCCAATTTTCGCACGGATATTTTTCCGAAACCGCATAATGTGCAGAATTACATCATGCTTGTGATAACAAAAATCCCAGCTCGCTATATCACAATTAAGTTCGATAAAGATAGCATGTATCCACGAGAGTGCTTATGGTGAAACCATGGCTCAATACTGATCTTGATAAACAGGGTCAACGTATTTGTCTAAGGAAGATTACCATGAAACACCATGGAATTATGGTGTTCATGTGATAAACAGCAGTTTTGTAATTTGTAAACTGATAATGAGTTGCATCAGTTATGGATTTATTGTTCGGGGGGTAATGGTTTCCAATGTTGTTTTGATAGCGATGTGGTGGCTAATGTGCTTCTTACCTCCTATCCCATACCATGACTGCAAAAATGTATTACGTTTGAAGTTTTTCTAATGTGTATGTGTCTGGAACCGAACGCTTCCGAAATCAGAAGATACTGTGTGGAATATCCCTCCTGCAACATGTCTCTCTTTCGATTGGACCACAGGTCATCCAGAAGCCAAGAGTATTGAAGAGGTACTTAAATCTTCAATGAGAAGCCCTCAGGTACCCTGGGTCTTGATGACACCTAAGGGCATAACGAGATAATGGTATTGAATCACCAAGAACGAATAACATTGGAACTTATTGATTGGATTCAGGTGTGAACATAGATTTATCATAGAAACATCATAGCCAGAAGCTTCTGAATAACTACTATCAAGAATAGAAGGCAGCGCTAGCTAGTGATAGGAAAAATGACGTAAAAAGACACCGGAACAAAATATGCGTAATGAAGACCTTAATTCAGAGTCGATTGAATTGAATTGAGTTAGAATGGCATCAGGTCCCATTTTCAGTGAAATATGATAATGGATGCATTACTGAGCACCGTGTTGAAACTTCTTTGGGCCTCCTACTAAGGTCCAGATGTTTTTTACTAGCAAGGAGGACACGGCTTTCTTCTGGAAAACTCTTGTGAGTGCACCTTACTCTCCCAACTCAAGCGTCAACAGCATTTCGTCTAATACGCTTTAGTTCACCATATCACCTTTGACGGAAACCACTGTGTGTTAAATAAGTTTCAAAATACTGCTTGGTTTTAACGTTTGCTGGGTTCAATGAGGTTAAAGATTGTTTTTAATATTTGTGTTTTGTTGTCAAAACTACCTAATTTCTATAGCAAGTTATAGAAGTATCTGTTACTTTGGTAAGTATCAATTAGTACTTTTACTTATATATTCCACTTCGGGCGATCATTACTATAAAAACTCTGAAAACAAATTGAGACAATATGCATAGAAAAGTTCTTACTATACCTGTAGACATTTTTGTTGGCTAAAAAGAAATCACATTATATTCAAAAATATCGTTCATTTTTCCGTTAATTTTGTTGCATTAGTTCTGAGAAAACGTAAGCATTTTAGATGATGTTGACTAACATATATATGGCGTCATTTTCTACAAAAGGAATAGAGAAACAACTTTCACTGTACAGCGACTCTGTTAGCCATGCGATGTACCTTTCGTTCCTCAAATTTGTTGAAAATTATAAAGAGATATAAAATTAGGAAACAAAAGAGAAATAACATCACATTATGATGCCCTAAACTACAATCTGAATTCCAGTATCAATTGTTACTACCAGCAAAACTTTTAAACGTAATTGAGTTTTATAAAAATGTATAATATATTGTTCAGGATTGACAACAGGCAAATTGTTTCTATAACTTGCATAAGAAACTATGGAGTAATACAAATCACAAATAATATAAGAATATATAAGAAAAAAGGTTATGCTTCAGTAACCCAGAGCACATTTAAACCTAGCGGAAACGCCATACCGGTATCCAGTGTTGCTACCTGGATACGTCCTGCATTCTTCCCAATTTCCTCTAGGATACTTCTGATTACACGATTGAACTAAATAAAAATTGCTGAGGGATCAATAATGTTGCGGCTCTAGTAGAATTTGTCAATTAGAACAACTCAAAGTTATACAACTTGAATTTTTTAGGAGACAGTGAAAATTGTGTCATTGACAAATAACAGTTTGGTCTTTTTGGACCTGATAGAGTGAATTTTAAAAGTATTTAAATATCGAAGAGAATTCACAGTTTATTAATTATAATAGAAAGTTTCGAAAAGCTGTCCTTGACTCATGTTGTTTTAGCAAGAAATAGGGTTAGTATAACT